TATCCACTAAATTTGAAAATAAAAAAGGCTGCCCTATTAAATTATATGTGTATCAAAACAAACTAAAAAAATATATATAGAACAACAATACTTTTATGACTTTAATGCTAGTGAGAACCAAAACAATATGGAAATGAATGAGGGAAAACTGGATCCTACCACGTGATTTCCCGGCCAATAAAAATGTAGCGTTAAACGTTTAACGCAACCTTGTTGGAAGTCGAATAAGAAGTATAACTTCAAAAAGACAGAAAGAAAGCACCACACAGTAGTCCATGAAATACCACCAAAAAAAACTGCATCATGAAGTTCTGATGTGAATTTTAAAAAATTTACGACTGTTTAATGATAAATGAATTTAAAGTCCGATTAATGACCATGGCATGACCTTACGATTAATATGTGTGCATTTTTTAAGATTTTTGATTAAAAAGTGAAGGGATAAGTGCGAACAAGTAATAAAATTGATTATTGAAACTAGTGTTGTTTTTTTTAAAAAAAAGCAAGTATAAACAAAATGAAAATAATTTTAGTCTAAAAATACTGTCTGAACTCTAAACAACATTTAACAGTTTTTATGTTAAGGTCTAATGAATCATAATTTGTAAGTAACAAGTAAACTTAATTCCAACTAAGCAAAAAAAAGCAACAAAAAACAATGTTTTAATAAGAACTGTATTTTAAATAGATTTTTAGAAAAAAAAAATTTTTTTTTTATTTAAATCAAAATTGGTTTTTGTTTTATAAACTATACTTACCAACTAAATATTAAATGTCAACTGATAATCGATAATAGCAAGTAGGAAATACCCATTTTACAAATACTACAAGAGAAATAAAACTCCACGGGTAATTATTATTTCGAATTATTTTCATTAAAACATTAATTTTCTATGAATTTTTATTGCATAGTGCGAGAAAAATCCTACTGCCCTGAATAATTTTTGATCTAATGATAGTTTTAGCTCTGAATCATAATGGTTCAAAGGGGATGATTTCAAATATGTTGATTAATTTAACCGAAAATAATTGTAAGCAAAAAAAAAAAAAAAAACTTTTATTTAATATTTGTTACATTTTATTTTTTACTTAAAAAAATTTAATTTGTAATGTATACAATTTTTTTACATCTTTTCAAAGAATGTAATTTTACATGGCCAAATATAAAATTTGAGCTAAATCAGCTGAATAGTTTCTATGTAAAATCTTAATTATCAGATGATACTATACAGCTTTATTGTTTTGCCGCGACCGAAACTGGTTTGCACTTGTTTACGGCCGTGTATCAATTGGTTAACATTGTAATGCCTTACGTTAAAAATAAATACAAATAGGAATCATGTATAAAATCTCCCGAATAAAAACCTATTACATGTATGTTTAAAGATAAAAGTACTGCATATAAACTCGTGCAAAACATGTAATTATTAAAAAACTACAGTGCGTCTAATAATTTGATCTAATTATTGCAACATAATAATGTAACACCCGATATAATAAATATTGCATATTTATATAATATATCGTCTAATTCTATCCAATCGTCGAATTTATATCATATATCGTCTAATTTAATCAATAGATACACGAACGTAAACAAGTGCAAACCGGTTTCAGTCACGTGAAAACAATAAAGCTGTATAGTATCACTTGATAATTAAGATTTCACATAGTCTTACAGTGCGTCTAATAATTTGGCCAGAGACTGTATATATATATAAGGTAAACTAACCAGTGAAGGAACACTTAAGCTTCGCTTGCCTTTTAAAAAATTATATTAATTTCAAAATTCGTAATTTTAGTTAAATGACAGTGTCATCATATTTGTTACTAATTGCAAATTATGTAAAAAAAAAATTGTAGAGAATTTACATAATATTGTTTTAAGGTTTTGGAGGTTCAAATAACAAGTAGTAAGAAGACCAAGTGAAGGAACAGCTCTTACCAATGAATGAACACCCAGTAAAGGAACACTTAATTTTGGTTATTTTTTAATGCTCTTTATGAATTTATAGGCCATGAAAATATTTAAAAACAAGCCTATTCTTGAAATTATAACATATAAATACTTGGAAAATGTTAACTTTTTTTTGTAATCATGAATTGAAANCATTGAAAAATGAAAATCATATATAAAATAAGTTCAAAATGTAGAGAAAACATGGAAAAATCACAGAACAGTGATAAAAGGGGGAAGAAAAAGAACAACAAAAATAATAATAAACCGGTAAAAAAAATGCTAAAAATCCGGAAAATAAAAGATTTAATCTTTCATCAGCTCTCACGATTATATCTGCAAAAAGGAGTGCTTTCTAATATTGTATCAAAGTAGCCAAAGCAAAATATATCCATACAATAGTGTGAGGAGTACTCAAAAAAATTTTTACAAAAAAATTACAACAAATAAAATAGAACACAATATGTAAAAATATCGCGTAAAAACAGAAAATAAAATGTAACGAAAAAACAGAATAAAACATGAAATAAAATCTATGAAGCGAGTAGCGAATTCAGTGAATGATTTAAAATATTTTCGTAACAGATTGCCAGATTGCTAAATATGAAGCCAAAAGCGCAAATTGAGGTAAAAGCGTAAATAGAGGGGTATTGTATTAAAGTGCGTTCTTACTGCAGTACTGAAGTGCGTTTGATTTGTTAGTTACCAAGGATGGGCCGAAAACGTATGTGCGCAATGAAATATTATACTGGATAATTTAAAGAAGTTGACAGTTAATAATTTTAGAAAATTAACAATTATTTAAGAAAAATAAAATAAAATAGAAAAGAGAAAGAAGCATGAATTGCCTGTTTTGCACATAAATTTAGCCACGGATTTGCCCGAAATGGATTTGCACATGGTAAAAATTGTATAAATTAACAAAGAAACTTTTTTTAGTACATTTGTTTACAATAATATACAATTAACTCAATGATTTTATATAGAATTTAATTACTTTAGTTGGGTATCCTTTGTTTTTCTTTATCAAATTTTGAAAGAGTTTATCTATTTGTTTTTTGGATAAATAAATAGTAATACATATTCTTTTAATTCTATTCATTTCATTAAAAGTAGTATTTAAGAAGATGTTCCTAGAAACATTAGAATTCCAAGTAATTAGTTAATTTATATTAAAATTAAAATCATTTCTTTTATCGTATAAAATATAAATCAACAAAGCAGATATTTTCTTCTTTTATTATACCCAAATCCAAAAAATTGAAATTGTAATTATCATCATGATTACATAGCAAGATTAATTCCTCAGGGTAAATATTATTTAAGAAAATAGTATTATCTTGAAAATTAAAGATAATTAAATTATCAATAAATCTAAAAATAAAATTAATATTAAGAGTATAATTTTTTTCATAATAATGCAAAAATAAGTTAGCAAAGAGAGATGAATAATTAGATCCTTGTGGTATTCCATCAATTTGAAGAAAAAATCTTTTCCATTGTAAAGATAATTATCAAAAAGACAAAAATTAATTAAAATTTCTCAATAATCAAAATCGCAATAAAGGATATTTTTAAAATCATAGTAATAATTCAAAAGGACATCTTTTAGTTCGGAAAAGGGAATGCTATTGAAAAAATCCTGTAAATCAAAAGTCGCAATGGAATTAATTTTATTACGTTTAATTAATTCTAAAATCGGTTGATTATTAGTGATAATCCAAGAAAAACCTTCTTTAATAATTTTATTTAAGTAGTTAGAGAAAATGGCTCCAGGTTTAGTTAGGTAAGTATCAGATCCACATGTGATTGTTCTAAATTTTATAGGAATTTTATGAAATTTAGAGCTGACAATTAAGTAAGGAAATTGTATATTGCTAATTTTAATTTTTAACCTCTTATATAAAGCTAAAATTTTTTTAATCACACTATTATTATTTAAATTACTAAGACTAAAATGTTTACTATTTTTTAATTCCGTATTTAAAAGTTCAACATGGAATTTTTTAACAGAAGTCTGCATAATTATTGTTAGCTTTGTCTATGGGAGAAATTACAAACTTTTTTTGTAGTTGCTTAATTGATTGAACTGTTTTAGCAAAATTTGCTGAATTGTTACTGTTTTTTAAATTATCCTCATTATTTAAAACAAAGTTTTTAAAGTAATAATAAACATCCCATTTCCATTCTGTTAGCATTATCTTTAAAAAAAAACTATTGAGATCATTAAGAATGTATTTTAGAATTTTACTAATTGATATATGGTACATGGGTTTAAATTTTGTGCCTTTTATCATTAAATTCCTAAGTTCTCCATAATATTTAAATTACCAGTAATAATATGTTTATCAACAAAATCAAAATATTTCTCCTTTTCACAATGATATTCATAATCGAATACATTAATCCTCCCTTAATGTTTGCTTATATCATCATAATTAAATATAGTTCTATCAAGAGATTTATTATATTTAAAGCTTTTAATTATATTAAAATCGTTTAATGAAAATAAAGTTTTAAAATTTTCAAAAATGTTATGAAATTTGATCGTATCGAAAATATGATTTTGAAAGTTAATAACGAAGTATAAATGATCTAAATTTTTATTTGGATCTATATATATATATATATGTGTGTGTATATGTATGAAGGAAACATACAATGAAGATTCAACAGGAAGGAAAAATAGATAATACAATAATTAAATTATACAATAATTAATTAGTCATTTAATTCTCGTTGCCGCTGTATTTAAAATCAAATTAACCGAAAAGCTCATCGAATTTGCTATTCATTACGGTCTACCGCTGAGAACTCGCGATTAAAAAAATAAGAAAAATAAAATGAGAAAAAGTTTATGCAACCAAATACTATCTTTCGGAAAGTTAAGTCCCCCTTCCTACCAACAACAAAGCAACGCCTCTGATTGGACAGCCACTTCATTCATAACATTCCAACGTGTACTCTGCTTGTTAGTAGCGCCATCTTTTGGCGACTACTGCCCACGCTTTGATTCCCACAGAACAGCTGTAATATGACAGGTATCTTCAGTAGACAACAAAGAATAATCGTCCCGAAAAAAAAATAATAAAAACGAAACGATATCATCCCGTTAACAACTATCCAAATACTCTCTTAAGTGTTTATGGAATTTACGAATCACAACTTATTTTATTATTTAATTTATGAAGTGAATTCGAAGAGAAATATCAGAGTGGTTCAGGGGGAAGAAAGAAAAAAAAAAAGGTTAAAGGAGAGGAGAAAGGGAAAAAAAAAAGAATAAATAATAATCGTCTGCGTGACGTATTTCCGGTTCCGAAATGCGTTCCTTAGCCGGTGCGTGGTAAACTACATTATTCATTCAGTCTCTCAATCGTCTGTAGAGCTTTAACCATCAGCTTATTGCTTCCTTTTAATCAACAATAAACAAAACTTTTGATGTTACGTACAGAACCGACATCTGTATTTGCATAAGTGTACGGTGTATCAATTGTATCAATAATCTTTTTAAGTGAAGTGTTCTTTTTTTTTTGTTTGGATTTTATACTTTGGATAGCAGATCATGATCTTTTGGTAAGTACTGATTATTAATCTAATTTAGAGACTGTTGTTTTGTATCAAATTTTTTATCAGTGATAAGATAACGTGTATAAGATTTATAAATTATTTGATAATTTGTTGTCTTAGAAATCATAATAATGCCTAACTTTACTTACTATAATATTCTCAATAATTAAAATTTATATCATCAAAATATTTATATTTATATAAAATTTTTAATGAATTAAAAAAAATTTTGCTATATTCGTATTGACATAATTTGCTTCGTTTATTTATAAAATTGTGGCTTTTGGTTAATGAATTATATGCTTTATATTTTGGAAAGCTATAAATAACCATAAAATATTTTAAACATAAATAAAATAGAAGTAACCCCCTAAAAAAATAATTCAAAACTAAACTATGTTTAATGTAAAAGGTTTAATTTGAATATAATGCGTTAATATTTTTTTTTATTATTTATTAGCTTATTTGTATTGAGGAGATAAATATAAATTCATTTTATTATTTTGCTTTGTAAATTAATTTTATTATTGTCTAAATTATAATTAAATTTTAAATCACATTTTCAGTTGTTTGATACGTTCTATCATTGTTCTTTTTAAATATAAACTATCTTTGCGATTGTATAAATCCCCAACTTAACTATCATAAAGCTATTTAGCTTAAAAATTAAAAATTGTTAATTCCAATAATAAATGTTTCTTCTGTGAGAAATTAAAACTTCAATTATGTCATTATTACTATTAAGCTATTGCAATTGCAATTTGGAATTTTAATTCTGCTTACACTGCATTTGTGTAAATTTTGCTGCTAAGCGAATTTTTGTGTTAATTGAAAAAAAAATCAAAAACAATTATTATAATTTGCGAAAACACATTTTTAGGTTTTTTACAAACATATAGTTTATTTATTAGGAATTATTTTGATTGTTGTTTTTTTTATTCTGTTATGTTCATATTTGCTTTAAATTTGTTATTTCTACAATTACGTTGATTTAAGTTTACTACTAATATTTTAAATTCATCTGATGTATTATGTTGGATAATATTTCACTGGTAGAAGTTATATTTAATGGTTTGTAATAACTCTGGTTTATAATTATGTCATAAATAATGTTTTATAATTATAAATAACTCTGAATGATAAGATTTTTTTTAATAATTGCTTGTTAAATATAATTGAAATTCTTTAACGTTTACTGAATTGAATACTTTAACGTTTTAATGAAATGTATTGAAAAAACATGTGGCAGAATTGAAAAACTCCAATTTTATATTAAATTTCACATCTGCATGATTATATTTTTTTCTTACATATTGTTCTTTTTGACATTAATGATATCTTAATAATATAAGCATTGTCTTAATATAAGCATAGATTAAAATTACATGGTTTGTTACACATGATGGTTTTAAATTGATAATAGAATATCATTATTTTCTTGTTATATTTTTAACAATCACACTATATTGCAACTTTATTGAGCTTATAGCTGAACTTTAAATTAAAGTTTAACCATCTAAATTGAAAACATTTCTTGAAAGTCAAAAAAAAAAGATTACACATTCATATAACCTGATTTATTCGCAAATTTTTAAGGCAATGCTTCGTTTATATCGTTCGCTAATTTTTAAATCAAAAAGGTACAACATATTGTCTTTTATTTGTGTCGGAAAGTAACCAACTTTTTACCTTGAATTTTTTTAATGAATTATGAAATAAAATGTATTTCACTATAACTCCAAGTATCATTTCGTAATCTTTTTTTTACGCTTGTATTGTTGCGATATAAAATATCAATATTTTAAGTTTCCAAAATTGAATATAGCTTTCTAAATTCCTAAATAATATGTTTTAAGATGCTTTTTATATCATTACTCAGGTTGGTTATTTCACAAAATAAGTTTATTCCTGTAAAATTGTATTTATAAAATTGTATTGTAAAATTGTTGCCATACAATATTTGCAATAAATATTTTAAATTTCAGAAATAGAAAACATATTTCTAAATTCTCAAATAATATGTTTTAAGATGCTCTTTATATCGTGTCTCCGTTTGATTTATTTTACAAAATAAAAAAGTTTTAAAATTTCATTTATATAAAAATGTTTGAGTTCGTTCTGAAATATGAAGTAAAGCTTAATATTTAAAGGACCCGAAATACGAAATATTTTTTAATAATTCATTTAATAAGAGAGCCCGATGAAGAAGAAAAAAAAGTTCAAAAAATACGACGCAGTAACACGTCGGTCGGTGAGTAAGCCTCTCGCAAAAATGCGACATTTTTATTCTCGCCGAATCAAGTTCCCAACTTCCAAAATTGCTGTATGAATTGTTCTTAATAAGTTTCTGTATGTTACTTATAATGTTCTCCTGCCACCTATAATCGATAATGACTAATATCGTGGAATATATTGTTTTATAACGCTAGCGGAAATGAGTCAGCTGCTCCCAAGCAACGATCGAGACAAGTGTGTTATCAGTGCCTGAACTTTCCACGCCTGTATACGTATATTTTCTCTTATTGGCCGTATTTATTATTTTGGGTGCACAAAAACAACATCACAGAATATTCAGGGTATTTTTTATTTATTGTGAATATGTAATTTTGATTTTTGAGAACTTGTTTCTTTACAGACGCAAATTACGCATTTTTCTGTTAAAATTTGCTTGGTGAATCGAATTACCTTTCCCGTGTAAATTTGATTATGATATTATAAAACGTAACTGAATGAATATCACTGAATATTCAGTGTGGTTTTTATTTGTTGTGAATTTGTTATTTCGGTTTTTGAGAACTTGTTTTTATACAGACGCAAATTACGCATTTTTCTGTTAAAATTTACTTAGTGAATCGAATTACTTTTCCCGTGTAAATTTGATTAAGATATTATAAAGCATAACTGAACAAATATTACTGAATATTCAGAGTAATTTTTATTTGTTGTGAAGTCGTTTTTTTTATTTTTGAGAACTTCATTATAATGAAGCAAAATACGCATTTTCTGTTAAAGTTTTTCAAAGTGATTCAAATTGCACTTCCTTTGAAAATTTTATTAATATATTATAAGGCGCAACTGAATGAATATCACTGAATATTCAGAATAGTTTTTAATTTTTGAGAACTTATTTTTATAAGTACGCAAATTACGCATTTTTCTTTTACAATTTACTAAGTGAATCGAGGCACTTTGCCCGTGTAAATTTGATTAAGATATTATAAAGCGTAACTGAATAAATATTACTGAATATGCAGAGTAGTTTTTATTTGTTGTGAAGTCGTTATATTGATTTTTGAGAACTTGATTCTAATGAAGCAATATACGCATTTTTCAGTAAAGATTTTGAAAGTGATTCAAATTGCATTTTCTATGAAAATTTGATTAAGATATTAAGCGTAACTGAATGAATGTCCCTGAATATTCAGAATAGTTTTTATTTTTTGTGAATTTGCAATTTTAATTTTTGAGAACTTGTTTTTATAGGGACGCAAATTACGCATTTTTCTATTAAAATTTACTAAGTGAATCGAATTATCACCCATACCGTGTAAATTTGATTAAGATATTATAAATCGTAACAGAATGAATATCACTGAATATTCAGAGAAGTTTTTATTTGTTGTGAAGTCGTAATTTTGATTTTTGAGAACTTTTTTTATAAGGACTCAAAATGCGCAATTTTCTATAGAGATTTTCAAAGTGATTCAAATACATTTCCTGTGAAAATTTTATTAAGATATTGTAAAGCATAACTGAACAAATATCACTGAATATTCAGAACTGTTTGTATTTATTAAAGTCGTATTTTTTTATGTTTTTAAGATGGTGCGAAGTACTTTTAATTATTACCAGAATTTCTACATCTGTATACTACATTTTCTTTTGTTAATTGTACTTATTGTTTTGAGTGAACGAAAATTTCCTTTACTGGATATCCAATATAATTTTTGCTGGTTGTAAGTTTGTATTTTTGGTTTTTTAGGAACTTGTTTTCAAACTGACATAAAACTCGCATTTTTTCTGTTACATGTTTCTGTTAAGATTTACAAAGTGAATCAAATTACATTTTCCTTAAAAATTTCATTAAAATATTATAAAGCGTAAATGAATGAACATCTCTGATTATTCAATACAGTTTTGATTTTTGAAATTTTTAATTTTTGAAAATTTGTTATAATGACGCATAATACGCTTTTTCTATTGTATGAACTTTATACCTACAGTTTCTCTTTCTAATTGTATTTTTTATTTTTTACATAAGCATCATCTCTTGATATCTAGAATAGTTTTTGCTTGTTGTGAGATAGTATTTTTGGTTTTCGGGAACTTTTTTTTTTCATCTGAACTTTCCACGTCTCTATCTACGTTTTTTTAAATTTTAATTGTATTTATTATTTTGAATATACATAAGCATCATCTCTGGATTTCCAGAACAATTTTTGCTTGTTGTGAGATAATATTTTTCGTTTTTGGGAACTTATTTTTAAAATGACATAAAGTACGCATTTTTCAGTGTCTGATTTCTGTACTTTTGTATACCTACATTTTCTCATTTTATTGTATTTTTTATTTTATACAAAAACATCATCTCTGGATATACTGAACAATATTTGCGTCTTGTGAGATAATATTGTTCGTTTATGGGAACTTATTTTTAGAATGACCCAAAATGCATATTTTTCAGTGCCTAAACTTTCAGCGTCTATATATACGCATACTTTTTCTTTTTAATCATATTCATTATTTTCGAGATACAAAAACATCACAGAATATTCAGAATAGTTTTTATTTATTGTAAATTCCGAATTTTTATTTTACATAGTACACATTTTATTGTGAAGATTACGCATTTATCTGTGAAGATGTACTGAGTGACTCAAATTACATTTCAAGGTAACCTTTGATTACGTTATTTTAAATTGTAACTAAACAAACATAACTGAATATCCAGATTAGTTTTTGCTTGCTGCGAGATAGTATTTTCCGTTTTGAAGAACTTGTTTTTA